CTCCTGCCTACCGGTGGAGGGATTAATCGGGGGCTTCCGCAGCAACCACCGGCGGCGGCGGCGGTTCACCGATTCGCTTGCGAGGCGCTGCCGTCTGACCCTCTCCGTGGCGGCGATGGGCCAGGGCGTCGTCGAGATCCAGCCCCGCGAGCTCCAGTTCACCTGTAAGCCCGCGCGCACGATTTCTCCCCTCTCTCTGATTATTCAGTAATTCCGATCCATCTCGGGCGACGGATTAGTCCGGTCGTCGCCGCGCGTTCGTGCGCGGCCTCTCGCCCCGCCTGCGCCGATTCGATGTTCCGCACGGCCGCGGATTCGGCCATTTCGGCGGTGTGTGCCGCGTAATCTGGGACTCGTTCAGTCGATTGGTGGTTTATTCCAATAGTTTTTTTTTGTGTGTGCGCGTTCCTTTCCTTGGGATTGATTGGAGCAGTGCCAAGTGCTATCTAGTTTGTTCTGTGCTTGTGCTGCGATTTGGAAGATGGGATTTGACTTGGAAATTGGTCTGACCGAACGGGCGAACATGAAGTTTGGAGGCAACAGATTTGTAAACATTTTCCGAGGATTAGTTCCACATTTTCCGAGGTTTAGGTACTTGCAGTTTTCGTATCCTGAACCTCAGGGCACAGGGAAAGCAGGAATGGCTGTATTCTTTTTCCGAGCGAACCCGGCAGTAGTATTTTGTAACATATATAAATGACAGAGTTCTTTCCTGTAATTTTTATATTCAGGCTTGGCTTTGTTTTTCCAAAGCTTTTGCGTTACTACCATGTTATTAGTTGGTTGCCGCCTTTTCGGTTCGATTGGTTACAGACAGGTAGATTTTGTGGTACGAGTGGTTGTAAAGTCTCTCTCGGTAGTTGGCAGTTGGCACATACTCGGCCAAGTGTGAGTAGCTCGTTCACTCCACTGATTGTGATGACACAAAGGGGAGCTAAGGCTTACAAAGACTGTAAAGTTAGTATTCCAGTATGCAATGCAGGGTCCGGTGCATTCATTGTTGCACCTGTTAATGTCCCTGATGCAGTGATGCACATGCTACTGATAATAGGAAGTGGGCCGCTAGTGAAATGGAAAATCTTCCCATCAAGTTTCTATTGTTGGTTTCCTATAAAATTATGAATCATACAACGTGCTCTGTTAGTAAGTGCAAATCAAGTGATCTTTAATTCTTCACATTTCAAAATGTCTCAGTGCTGGCACCTACTCTCAGCATGTGATTCTAGTGTGGCTGCTTCCTGCTTGTTGTGCTTATTTTGTTTCACGCAGTTCTGAATTTCTATGCCTATGGTTGATAATCATGTATAATTTGCAGAATGCCCAAAAAAATCTGAGTGAATTTATTTTCAGTATAATATATCTGGATAAAATTCTGACTTGGTTTTCTCATTTTTTGTTATTGTCAGTTGAGCTGAAGAAGCAGAGTTCATGTTCTGTCCATCTTGTCAACAAATCTGATGAATATGTCGCTTTCAAGGTTTTTGCCCCTTCTTTTTTCTGATGACGGTCTTGATAGCTTGATTTAATAGCCTTATACTGTACATCCGCATGTTGTGCAAAAGCACATTTCAGTTTACTAGGTATGCGTATGTACAATGTAGGGAAAATGTATGATGCATTTATCTCAAATTGGTAGAGTAATACTTATTTATAGTAGCAGAGGGGCCATTTCTGGTTGGTGTCTAAACACTGTCTGTTCTGTCGCTTTTTATTTTCAATTGGATGATCATGGTTTGAGCATAAATGAAACTGCAGCATCTGATCACCATTTTGAAATTGCTAGGTTAAGACAACTTCCCCTAAAAGATATTGCGTCCGACCAAATATTGGAGTTATCCTTCCAAGGGCAACATGTGATTTCACAGGTGTGTACACTACTGCTACTGACCTTATTGATACCTTATAGTGATAGACAACTTGTTGAGTTTTAACCACTCTCTAAAGCTGAATTGCTTTTTACTCGTTCTATATTTATGTAAGTGGGCTCATTCTTAGTTAAGTTGCTTTCTCATCTTCTTTTTTGGTTTGTGGAATGAACTAAGTTGGTCCATTGCCACCTCATTCCTCGTAAGCACACCACTTTAAAAAAATGAGGAAACGGGTCATCCCACAAAAATCATAGCATGAACACTCATGATGGACCAACCCATCTGTTCCTTAAAGCAAACATGTCATAATGTGCTTGCTTCAGAGAGAGGGTAGCAATTATATAATTTTGTTTGTCTTGCATTCAACTATTCATGCCTTGATTCTGTTTGGTTTCTTCGGTTATATTCCTCTTGATTTGTATATTTTTATCGCCTCTTAAATGCAGTTACCATGCAAGCACAGCGTACTGCGCCACCAGACATGCAATTAAAAGACAAATTTTTGGTGCAGACCACAGTTGTTCCTCCTGGTACATCAGATGATGACCTCATTCCTGCTTTTGTAAGTAACTAAGCACACAGTTCAGAAGCTTTACATGCATAATATTCCTTTATATGTTACTTGTCCTCATCTTCTTAACTCTTTTCCACAGTTCTCCAAAGAAACCAACGCATATATTGAGGAAAGTAAATTGAGAGTTGTCCTTGTTGATGCATCTCGTCCTCCTGTGGAGCAACTGATAAATAATGTCCCCAGCACTGATGCGGCAGTTGAGGTTCCGGTGTTAAAAGATACACCAAATGTTCAGAATGAAGTGCCAGCTATGGAGAAAAAGGCTCCTGCCCCCCAGGAGAAAATTTCAGCTGTTGTTCCTAACATACCTTCCCCTGTCAGGGAGTCTCCAATCCTTCAAGAAGTTCCTGTGCTACCGCATGAAGAACCTGCTATTTTGGCAGAATCTCCTCCCCCTCTAAAAGACGAATCTCCTCCCCCTCTAAAACATGAATCTCCTTCCTATATAAAGGATACGTCTGCGGTTACCATTGAACAGCTTTCTCCTCTGAAGGAAGAGACTGTAACTTCAAAGGTGTCTCCTCTGGAAGAAACTCTTCTGAAAGAAACTGTCACCGTAAGTGACCGAGGTTTTTTCAGTGTGCAGAATCATCAATTATCTCATGTAAGGATCCATACTATAGTTTTATTTATGCCTATTTTCCCTATGTTTTCCACAAAAAAAGAACATATAAGGCTTTTAAACATGTTCTTTACTGTAATGCTGGGTTGCTAGTCTCAAGCTGGACAAGATCTTGCACAGCCCCCAAGTTGAACATAGTTTGAGACTGGCTAGATTTTGGTAGAAACCTATATGTTTCTAGCTAAATGGTCTAAAGTCTAAATCACTCGTATTTTCTAGAACAGTTGCAGTAAAAAATACTGAAAAGAATAGCTGGAATCAGCTTAATTAGTGGCCACAAATTTGTCTAACTTGGTATAACTTTGGACAAGTGCTGCCTGTATTATTTGACCAAGACTTGCCCTTGCTAGAAAATCCTCATAATGCACTTTAACTATGATATACCTGGAGATCTCAACACTGCAGAGTATAGTCCGGATCTTTTCAGTTTGCAGAGACCGAGGTTATTTTAATTGACTTCTTTCATGTATCGATATGTAACAGGTGACGGAAGATGTTCAGAATCTGAAGTCAAAACTCAACAACCTTGAATCAAAATTGGAAGGGGTAAGTTGACCACCATAAAATGTGTTTGGATCGTTCAAACAAGTTTCTTGATAAGATCCTCATGACACAATAGAGCTTATGTTGTCTTATTATCTCAGATTGCTTACATTTTGGAGAATACCCTCTGACGTGAAACAATATTATACTTCTGTTTTGTAGGCTGAAAAGATGATAATAAAACTGAGAGAAGAGAGCCGGACTACAACCCAGGAGCGGGATAGGCTGCAGCAAGAGATGGTATGACTTGTTCACAGAAACATCTAGATTCTTCTTTTTTCTTCATACAAAAGCACCATTGTCCAGGTTCCGCTATTCTACAATAACAGAACACAACATCCAGTCTCCAGAATATCTTGGTTGTTCAGAACAAAACATTATTTAATGGATTATTAACTTGGCCTGAAACCTGTACATCCTTTGCTGCTCTAGAGATTGGGTTCTAGCCTTTTATTCACAAAGAAGAAGCAGAGAAAACTAAAAGCGCCTTCCTCCAGACCTTACCCCCCTGCATGTCACAATGTCTTACCAATTACTACGGGGGTCATTCATTGCAAATTACATAAGACACTACAATAATCTTTCATGTTAAAGCTTGCACATAAAACAATCCAGGCGGCAGTACAATGATCTTACATAAGACACTACAATGATCTATCATGCGTCCTAGATCTGTTTCTTGCGGAAAATAATCTGTTACTTACGACGCATTTATTTGAAAAAACTAAAAGTGTTGGTCAAGTAATCTGAAATATTAAGTAGTAGCACACTTTGAAAGAGTCTCAGGACAAAATGTGATTGTTCTTTGTAGAATTCTTTATCTTGTTGAAACGTATGGTCACTGTCACTATTGTTTCTCAAGCAGTGTATGCCGAGGTATATGTGTTGTGTACTTTGCAATATTTACTGGATGCTATTTCAGCACACTGCAGACAAATTTGCTCTTGAATCTGCTTTGCTTTGAAATTTTGATGTTTTTGGTTACTAAAAATTGTTCATGACTACCTGTTGTTGATCTGCGTCTATTAGTTTCTAACATTATGCATTGGCTTGGGCAGGTATTTTTAAAGAAGGGAACCCCAAAGAGTCAGCTAGGCTTCCCGTTGCTGTTTGTGGTCTATGTGGCGCTTCTCGGCACATCCCTCGGCTACCTCTTGCGCCTATGAGTTGGAGTATGTTGGAGATCCAAGCCGCCGGGTGCTTCAGTCTTCGTCAAGAGTTGAAGGGCAGCTATATACATAAATGTTGCAGGAGCATCCCTGTTAGCAGCACCATCGTTTGTTATTAATTAGTTGAGACGGTTTTGAACATACCAGGGTTATTGCCGGTAGCCTGCCTGTATAGAACAGCGTTTACATTATATAGAACCGCCTGAAAAAGTGCTTGGGTACTCCTGTGGGCTAATTAGCCTTGAGTTTGTTCCTCTTGGTGATTCTTTTTGCGTGTTTGGGTTCAGTTCTAGGCTTCTAGCGAGAACAAAACAGCATAATTTTCTGCATTATTTACTTTAGTCGGTGTCTGATTTGTGAACTATTGAGTATGTATCAACAAGGTACAAACCTTGGTGAATTTCATTTAGTACTAGGTAACTAGGTAATATTGCATCAAGCTTTTAAATAGCTGCCGCTACCTCTGCAAGCTTTTGCGGCTGCTCCATCATGCAGCTATTATTCTTTGATTGTATATTGTTCAGTTATAGTCTTTTCTTACATGTCACCATTTCTTAGATTATGTCATATTTGTTGCCAATGGTTGCTCCCTCCGAACCAAAACAAGTGTCAAACTTATTTTGGATCGGAGGGAGTATATAATATCTCAAATATATGGGCTGTTCTTTACAAATTCCTTATGCGGGCATATCACTTGTATTGTCTGTAATGCACATTTTGGAATGCCGACCCCAATCTGCAATTGCTTCGCAGTCCGCTATTTAAAAGCTTTGTAGTGCATGCAAAGATTTGAAAGGCATACATGACAGATGATGTTACATAGTTGTACTCCTTCCGTTCCTAAATACTTGTCTTTCTAGGCATTTCAACAAGTGACTACATACGGAGCAAAATGAGTGAATCTACACTCTAAAATATGTCTACATACATCCGTATGTAGTAGTCATTTGAAATGTCTAGAAAAACAAGTATTTAGGAACGGAGGGAGTAGTGTTCATGACAGCGCGCAAGTGAGTTATTTAGCGAGCCAAGGACTGTATTGTCTTATTTGTCGTGGTGCATATGTTTGGCATTCTGTCAGTAGGCCCTGGTGTGCGAAGACCGTGCCACAGCAATCTTGCGGCAGGCGGCAACAACAGAGGAGGTAGAAGCTGCATAAGGGCATCTACAATGGTAGACGCTTGCAAAGACGCTAATAGTGAAAAGAATAAATATTGCCGAATTTAAAAAGTGCCTAAGCGTCCTACATTGCAATGGCAGGCGCTAATTACATGCGTTAAATTGAACTACCCGGGCGCTTCGCATGGGAAGAAAAACAAGGAAGCGCCCGGCGCACGGTCTTGCGTCGATGCTACACATAACGCTGGGATTCTAGTGATAACTGCCCAATCAACCAGGAATCTGATCCTGGCGCCCGTGCTAAGCACCCGGCGTTGTACATGCCCTAAGGAACCACTGGTTCAAACTTGAGAGATCTCCGTCTCGAAAAGAAAAATAAATAAAGCTTCAGAGGACGAAAGCTTCTACCTCCCTGGTCACACGATGCACAGCACTACAGCTGTTCCACAGGCCACCCGTAAGCCAAAACCTAAAACATGTTCCTTGCCTAGAATGAGGCATTCCGAAATTAACCGGACCGAAATTTGGCAAATTGAGATGACGATTTCTACTGCCAGAAATTAAGCACCAAATTGCAGTGTAATGAGTGCGCACGGACACAGACACGAGAGAGCATCGACTGAAAGGGATGGAACATTGGGTCAACCTATTTCTTGCCCGGAACAGGGCAAGCTGTAAGTCACAGTGAAATTAACTTAAAACATTTGTTCCAAGGCCAGTTGAGGATGCGGGTCATCGATGTTGCAGCTCAGAAGCTGCACAAGAAGCATTCGTTCAGAGTCTCAGCCTCGGAAAGAAAAGAAAGCTTCAGAGGAGCAGGAAACCTGAACGACTAGTGCATGGTTTTCTTTCTCAAAAGAACTAGTAGTATATGCTTGAGATGTTAACTGGAATTGATGATTTCGTTGGCAAACATTCCAAAGTTAATTTTCTAGTTAGCTGAAGATCCAACTTACCACGACACCAAGAAGCCACCAAGAACCAGGGCCACCCGGGAACCAGGCCTTGCATTAACAGTACTCACCCGGGAACCAATTTGAGTTACTGGTTCTTGACTGCAATCTCCGGCCGATGAGCATTCCGCAATTAAATTTCATGGTATGCTACTGTAATCAACACCTGAATTCTCCGAACAACATACTGTGTGTGCTAAAATAAAACACCTTTCAGGCAAATCTATGTGAACAGCTGAATCTACAAAATACATCCAGAAGCAGCAACAATAAATTCTGTCAGAAATATTTTTCGCAAGGCACGTGATATATCCATAGATTATAAACACCTTTCAGGCACGTGATATATACAAGGGGTTGCAAAATTCAAAGCTTATGGACAACAACGAGGCATTTCATATATTCATAGATTCACTGGCAGGGCTAAAATATAGAAAAAGGAGGGAAAAGGTTGATCTGACATCATCTGCTGCAGAAATTAAGAACCACATTGCACACAAGATAACAGCATCAAGCTAAACAGCGTAGCACTGGGTACATACCATGTCCTAATTAAGATAGCTAAGAGCAATTCCATCACAGAAGATACAACCTAGGTTCTATTGCCCAGAACAAGTGAAGGCATAGCCAAATAACAATCTACAAAAGAGCAAACCTTTCTAAGCAATGCATACCATAGGCTCAAACATCAAGTTTAGCAGTGCTAGCCAGTTCAGAATCCCTCCCGGGTGCTGATGGTGTAACTCGACAGAAGCTGGATGATCGTGAAAGGACGTTCGCCCACGAGGACAAACTGCTTGCGCTGCTTCACAAAATCGACGGCTTCAGAGACCCTCTCTGCTTTACACTCCTTGATTTTGTACTTCCGGATGTGAGCAGACGAAGCGTGGTGTTCAGTATAGTAGATACAGTCTGACTCGATTGATGGGAACATATCAGCATCCACAGGAAGGCACCTATGATGACCAATGAAGAATGCATGGTTGCCGATGCTCTTCGCAGGCAAAAGCATGCCGCTCTCGGCTTGGAATCTTAAAACCCAGAAGAAGCTTTGTCCCTTGATGACGACCAGCATCTGACCACCAAATTCCATTGGGAAACACAGGGCATCGTCTGCGATTCCCATCTTGGTAGCACCACCGAAAATGTAATTTGACAGATCGACACTAAGCAACTGCCTCAGTTCGCAGATCTTGAGAGCCATGTCAGTTGTTGTGCTTAATTCTCGCCAATGGCCGACCAAACCACCTCCAACCGCCCTCCGGAAGAAACTGTAAACCGAAGGATCAATGTCTGGGGCTTCAAAGCTGTGAGGACTGGCCATGTACATCTTGCAACATGAGTTGCAGAACAAGGCGAGCATGGGCGGAGAGAAGCCAGTGCTGACGCCAGCGGTGACCTGCGCCTCGGGCGGCACGGGCGCCGTGAAACGGATCATGTCGCCGTGAGAGGGTTCAAGACGCGTGCGGCGTGAGGAGGGCTCCTGTCTTCCAGGACGAAGAAGCCGCCGAGGGTGGTGGCGACGACGCAGTAGTCGCGGAGCGCCGGGAGCTCCTTGTGGAGGAACCGGCCGGTGGCGGTGTTGAGCAAGAGGCGGCGTGTGTATGGAGTAGTTTTTTTTTTTTTTTTTGGCAAACATGGATGGGAGTATCGTACTGTAGCACAACATGAACCAAACAATATTAAAAAAAACCATGAACCAAACAAGTTTTTTTCTTAGGCAAACCAAACAAGTAGTCGTTTTTCGTGGGCCGGCACACGAGCACCTGTGCCTGGCACGTAAAGGGCCCAGCCAGGCACGCGACTAAATGGGCCGTGCTGGCCTGTGGCCCACTATGTCCTGTGCTTGTTCGCCGAGGTGAGGTTCGTGGGCCGGCACGACATGACCTGTTTATTGGTTTGATTTTTCTTTTTTAAATGACACAAAAGGCTGAAAAGCACGCGGGCCGCCGGTACATGTGCCGTGCTGGGCCGGCCTGTTTATCATGCATGGCATTCTAGTCCGCCCAGGTGAAGCCCATGTGCCGGGCGCTGTGTTAGGATGTGTCGTGTTCGGGCCATCCCATTTGCCACCTATTGCGTTGAGCTTAGTTTTTTTAGTAACCGAGTCAGAAATTTTAATTGACCATCAAAAGCATTTTCTTGAATATGTTGTTAGAGCATCTACAGCCGAACTTCCCACATCAGTCGCAAACACACGGGCGGCCTGCTCGGTTATGATTTTGCCACCCAACCGAACCGGGCAAATCCGGCCGAAACATCCGGGCTGATCGACAACACCATATCCAACCCATATGTGAGGTGGATATGGGGATGCTCGGACGCGCCCGCCACGTCGGACTGACGTGCATATCCTAAGCGAAAACTTATCAGTCTAACGTGCACCTCCTTCGTTTTTTCGATGAGGGCATTCATGGCTCCGCATGGCGCCGCTCCGGTGGGCTACCAGAGGTACCAATTCCGACTATTTAAGCCGGGCCACAGCGGCCCAACCCTAGCTCGTCCCATTTTCTCCCTTCCCCTCCCCTCCACGCCACCACCTTCTGATTCAGTTGTCGTCAGCCGTTACACATGGCCTGATGATGTCTACTACAACACTTTCTTCTTGTAGACATTGTTGGGCCTTCAAGTGCAGAGGTTTGTAAGACAGTAATAAATTTTCCTCAAGTGGATGACCTAAGGTTTATCAATCCGTGGGAGACGTAGGATGAAGACGGTCTCTCTCAAGAAAACCCTGCAACCAAATAATAAAGAGTCTATTGTGTCCCCAACACACCCAATACAATGGTAAATTGTATAGGTGTACTAGTTTGACGAAGAGATGGTGATACAAGTGCAATATGAATGGTAGATATAAGTTTTTGTAATCTGAAAAATATAAAAACAACAAAGTAGCAAGTGGTAAAAATGAGCGTAAACGGTATT